ATATAACTAATTTTATTAGATACCTACCTTTCTGTTTGACTTATTAACAAATGCTGAATTTGCTCTAACAGTGCACTTACAGAGACTTTGGAAAGTCGGAATCTATTTATAAATTCCTCGTCGTTCCAACACTCCATATGACTAGGTCTTACTCTAAAATTTCTAGGCTGCCTGGGAGCCTCAATAATATTTATGATGTCTTCATCCTCATCACTTAAAATGTCGTCAAATATCTCAAAAATATACACTTCGTTAATATCCATTTTACAATTTACAAAATTTATCTTGGTTTTTATAAGGTTATGTTTATAGTACTTTCACCAACTTTGACTTTCTATTATATTCTATTCTATTCTATTCTATTCTATTCTATTCTATTCTATTCTATTCTATTCTATACAATTCGGATCTATGGGCACAGATTACTTTACCAAAATTACTGTGCTATGGGAGCAAAATGTTTTCCATAGTGAGGTTTAACTTGAACGTGTGGTTTAAACGAAGCCTCTGTATCGGTTGAAGTTTAAACTCCACTCATTGGTTTAAACATCACTCTACTAGTTAACTCTGCTTATAAAACGTTCATTTCTTCAAGGTCACAGTTTAAACTCCAATCTCAAGTTTTAACCTACATTATAAAACTGGGCCTTAATATACGAAGTTCTGCATCACACACTGCTTGAACATTTAACGATGTCTACAAAATTAGGTTCATTCAATGGGTATCTAATATTATTCGCTATATTTCTTAGAGATGCACAAAAATTTGACAATACTCGGCTACAAGTTGACTGACTAACAAGTGCAATATCTCCTATTAAACTCTGAAAACCACCTGATGCTAGGAACCTTAGGCCTATAAGAACTTGTAGCATAACTGATAGGGAATGACTGCGTCTCGTGGGGTGTTCTAACTCTGGTGCCAGTAACTCGCATAACTCCAAAATCACATTTCTAGGTAAACGATAATATCTACAATAAAATGCATTTTAAAAAGGAAAGTTTGAATAATTTTTATTTTTTTAAAAATACCTTAATAAATGTTCATCTGGTACTTGCATAGGATCTAATCGGTCTCGAAACAGTCTCTCCCTGTTCATATTTGCTACTGGCTGTTGGTTTTCTCTCGGTTCATCCAACCTTTCATTGAGATTATCATTCTCATTTTCTTCATTATTTAGAACAAGGATAATTCTTGCCGGACCAGGAAACATGCTAAAATAAATAATATTGACATTGAAATTATGGTCGTTTCTGTTTTCGTAATTAAGTG